TGGTGTCAATTGTTAATTTGACGCTTTCATTTCTGATTTTATTTATTTGGCTTCTTTCTTTGTTTCTTGATAAAGTCTGGCTGATGGTTCATCAATCTTGTTTATCTTTTCAAAGGACCAGCTCTTGATTTCATTGATCTTTTATATTGTATTTTTAGTCTCTTTGCCATTAATTTCTGCTCTGATATTTTTTATTTTCTTTTTTTCTACGTCTTCTGGGCTTTTCTTGTTGTTCTCTTTCTAAGTTGTGTGTTTAGGTAGTTTAGTTGATGTTTTTCTTGTTTTGTGAAGTAGACCTGTAATGCTATGAACTTCCCTCTCAGAACTGCTTTCACTGTGTCCCATAGCTTTTGGGTGATGGCACGTCCATTTTCATGAAGTTTTATTTCTCCCTTGATCTCATTGTTAACCCATTCATTGTTTAATAACATGCTATGTAGCCTCTATATGTTGAATGTTTTTGAGGTTTTTTATTATAGTTTATTTCTAGTTTCATGCTATTGTGATCTTAGAATCCTATATAATAAAAGCCTATGCGATGTCACAAGATGGCCATCACAAGATGGCTGTGCACACAGTAGAGGCAGGGCCCAGGGGCCGTTCCGTGTGGTGAGGACTGAGGGTCCCACAGCTCTGCGTGGCATGGAGGAGGCTGGTCCTGGTGTCTCTGCCACCTTGCACACAGGAAGCGCGTCCCAGTGGAGGAGGCGGGTCATGGCAAGGGAGGGCAGTCACGGGTGATCAGGTTGGTGGGGGGTGGGGGGCAGTTGTGGGCGATAAGGCTGGCAGGGGAGCAGTTAGGCATCAATAGGGCCAGAGTAGTTAGGGCAGGCAGAAGCGGTTTAGGGGCCGTCAAGCAGGCAGGCAGGCGAACGGTTAGGAGCCAGTGGTCCCAGATTGTGAGAGGGATGCTGGACATCCCCCGAGGGGTCCCTGATTGGAGAGGGTGCAGGATGGGTTAAGGGACGCCCCCATGCACGAATTTCATGCACCGGGCCTCTAGGCCTACACACTGAGTGGCCGGGTCATTATGATCTCTGAATGCATAATCTGGCCACTCAGTGTAGACTGACCATAGGTAGAGTTGGGATTTTAAAATAAGGTTTTTCCATGTATAAGAACTGCATTGTGGGTAGTTAGAAAGAAGCAGAGGACTTACTAGCCAGCGGCTGGTCCCTTGACACATCAAGATTTGCAAGCTTTCCCTTATACATAAATACACTGAGTGGCCAGATTATATGTGTTCAGAGATCATAATAATCTGGTCACTCAGTGTGTAATAAAAAATTAATATGTTAATTAGACTGATGGCTGAATGATTTTCCGGAAGGACCAGTGTGTGGGGGGTGTCACGGGGCCGTGGGGCAGAGAGGCAGCCAGGGCCATGAGGCAGCCGGGGCTGCAAGGGCCGGACCTCTTGCCTGGATTTTGTGCATCGGGTCTCTAGTATACTTGATATGATTTCAGTCTTATTGAACATAAAGGCTTATTTTGTGTCCTAACAGGTAGTCTATCTTTAAGAATGTTCCACGTGCACTGAGAATAATGTATATTCTGAAGCTTTGGGATGAAATGTTCCATAAAAATCAGTTAAATCCCCCTGATCTAGTGTGTCATTTAAGGTTGCTGTTTCCTTGTAGATCTCTTTTGTGTGAAAAATCCCCAGTGATGTCAGTGAAGCCCTCTACTATGACTGTATTGCTGACAATTTCTCCCTTATAGTTCTCCAGGATGTTTTAAATAATTCTTTTATTTGCTGAATCCAGATTGGTTTCTAGTATCCTGAGTGTATATCAGCCTCTTTGGTACTGTACTAATATATATATATTAGTAAGGGCCTACAATACATTTATTTATTTATTTATTTATTTATTTATTTATTTATTATATTTTATTAATTTTTTACAGAGAGGAAGAGAGAGAGATAGAGAGTTAGAAACATCAATGAGAGAGAAACATCGGTCAGCTGCCTCCTGCACACCCCACACTGGGGATGTGCCCACAGCAACCAAGGTACATGCCCTTGACTGGAATTGAACCCGGGACCTTTCACTTCACAGGCTGCTGCTCTATCCACTGAGCCAACCTGGTTAGGGCGAGTCCTCCAGGAATTTTTAGATATATTTACGTGCTCATTTATTGGGTGCATATATAATTACCAGGGTTAAATCCTTTTGTTAGATCAATCCCTTGAGTATTGTGTAATGACCATCTGTCTCTTTTATCATCGTTGTTTTAAAGTCTATTTTCTCAGATATAACTATTGCTATCCCCATTTGCATGGAAAATTTTCATTTCCATTTGCATGGAAAATTTTCATGCTGTGTGAGTCTTTTGTTCTGAGGTGGGTGTCTTGAAGAGAGCATATATATGGGTCATTTAAAAAAATCTATTGAGTTACCCTATGTCGTTTGATTAGAGCATTTAAGGTCATTATTGATAGGTACTTATTTATTACCATTTTTATTCTTTATGCCTATGCTCATCTAGTTCTAGATTTCTTCTTCTTCTTCCAATGATCCCTTTAGCGTTTATTGCTATGCTAGTTTAGTCAGAATAAGCTCATTTAGCCTTTTTTCTTTCTTTTTTTTTTTTTTAAAAATCTGGGAAGTTCTTTATTTTCCCTTCAATTTTATTTGTTTGTTTTAAATATATGTTTATTGATTTCAGAGAGAAGGGAAAAGGAGATAGAGATAGGAACATCAATGATGGGAGAGAATCATTGATCAGCTGCCTCCTGCATGCCCCACACTGGGGATCTAGCCTGCAACCTGGACATGTGCCCTGACTGGGAATCAAACACATCTTGATTGGGTCTCTCTCTGCCTCCTGAATTTGTGTGACTTTTTCCTTCACCCAGTTCGGGAAGTTTTCTGTCATTATTTCTTCAAATAGGTTCTTTACCCCTTGATCACTTCTTCTCCCTCTGGTGCAAATGATGCAAATGTTGTTACAGTTCATGTTGCCCCAAAGTTCCCTTAAATTTTTATCATACTTTTTTTCTTTTTAAAAATATATTTCTTATTGATTTTTGAGAGGAACAGAAAATGAGAGAGAAAGAGTTAAAACATCAATGATGAGAGAATCATTGATTGGCTGCCTGCTACATGCCCCACACTAGGTATGTTCCCTGACTGGGAATTGAACCACGACCTTCTGATTCATAGGTTGGTGCTCAACCACTGAGTCATGCTGCTCAGGCTGTCATCATACTTTTTAAGTGTTTATTTTATTTTATTTTTGCTGCTCTAATTGAGTGTTTTTTCTACCTTATCTTCCAAATCACTAATTTGATCCTTTGCTTCCTCCAGCCTCTGTAAATTCCTTCTAGTGTCTTCTTGATTTCAGATATGGTATTTTTCATTTCGGACGGGTTCTTAATCACGGTTTTTCTCTCCTTTTTAATGCTGATGGATCCCCACTAAGTTCCGTGTAGTTCTCATTAAGTTCTTTGTCGTTTTCACTAAGTTCCTTGAGCATCCTCTTAACCATTAATCTGAACTCTGTGTCTGATAAATTGCTTACCTCCATTTCATTTAGCTCTTTTTCTGGAGAGTCATTTTCCCCCCTCATTTCACTTAGGGGTTGTTTCTTTGTCTCCCCATTTTAGTTGTTGCTTTGTGTTTGTTTCTATGAATTAGGTAGAATTGTGGTCCTTTGCAGTAAATGTCCTGTGGGACCCAGGGGTATAGTTTTCTTGACCTCCTGAACTGGATTGTCCCTTTTGCCACTTCTTTGGGCTTTTCTGTTGTAATTGGGTCTTTTTAAAACATATATATTTTTATTGATTTTAGAGGGAGAGAGAGATAGAAACATCAATGATGAGAGAGAAGCATTGACTGGCTGCCTCCTGCATGCCCCCCACTGGGGCGTGAACTCACATCTGGGCATGTGCTCTGATTGGGAATCAAACCGTGACCTCCTGGTTCATAGGTTGATGCTCAACCACTGAGCCACGCCGGCCGGGCATAATTAGGTCTGGATTGTTATTTTCCCATTCTTCCGTGGGATCTCCTCTCAGGCTGGCTGACTGTGAGGCTCAACCCTGACCATGTCACGTGAGCTGTTATACAGGTGCAGTTGTTCTAACGCTCCACCCAGAAGTACAATTGGTATGACTCTGTTGATTGCTGTGCTTAATGGTTATAGTCTAGTCCTGGCCAGGCGGTTCAGTTGCTTGGAGCATTGTCCCGATACACCCATGTTGTGGTTTCACTCTCAGTGAGGTGAGAAATGAATAAAACTGCAGGAGGCCATGAGCCAGAAGTCAGAAGTCAGAACTGGAGCAAGAACAGAGAAGCTGTGTGTCCTTGGAATGTTAGTTAATATCTTAAGCATTAATTTCTCCATCAGTTCACTCTCCGTGAGGAGAGAAGCTCTGAGATCCATTTTAACCGTTTTTAAAGTGTACAATCGAGTGGCCTTTAAAACATCCACAATGCTGTGCAACCTCCACCCCGATCTAGCTCCAAATATTTCATCACCCCAAAAGGAAACCCCAACTTACTAGCAGTCATTTTCTATTGCCCCCTCCCCCTGGCCCCTGGCAGCCACTATCTACTTTCTGTTTAAGGATTTACCTATTCTGGACATTTGTATGAACAGAACCACACCACACGTGGTCTTTTGTGCCTGATTTCTTTCACTGAACAGAATGTTTTCAAGAGTCAGCCATGTTGTAGCATGGATTAGGATTTCATTCCTTTAGATGGTTGGATCCTACTCCATTGTGTGGAGAGACCATGTTTGTTATCTACTCATCAGATGCTGGACATTTTTGGCTATGTGAATACTGCTGTTATGAGCATCCATGTGTATGAGTTTAGTCTGAACCCTGTTTTCAGTTCTCTTAGATATGCACCTAGGAGGGGAATTGCTGGGCATAGAATAATTGTATGTTTAACTCTGAGGAATGGCCACGCTATTTTCCACAGCAATGGCACCATTGTACATTCCTCCCACAATGCACAGGGGCTCCAATTTCTGCTCTATCCTCACAGTCCTCCTGTCGAGCCAGTAGGAACACCGTGAGCGGCTACTTCCTCGCGGGCCGGGACATGACATGGTGGCCGGTGAGTGCCCCGACTCCTCCCACCCTCCTTCCTATTGGGGCCACATCTGACCTGCAGGTCAGCCAGCATCCTTGAGGTCACTGCCCAGTCCAGTTTAAGCAGGTGGTGATGAGGCTGTCAGGGGATCCCCAAGCTGGGGGTATAGGAGTGGGGTCCTGGAAATTGTGTGAAGGCGGGAACTTTGGAATCCGGGTGGCTCACAGCTGATTCCTTTTCCTCTCTCCCCACCAGATCGGAGCCTCCCTCTTTGCCAGCAGCGAGGGTTCTGGCCTCTTCATTGGACTGGCCGGCTCAGGCGCAGCCGGGGGCCTGGCTGTGGCAGGCTTTGAGTGGAATGTGAGCTCCCAGGGGTGCGGAGTGTGGGGAGCAGAACCGTCCTGCAAGGCCCTGGATAGGGGCTCCTCTGGAGTCCACACCTCGATGGCCAGAGGGGCACCTCCTAGCAGCATAGGTCTGCCGGTGCCCAGCTGGTTCTATGCACAGTGTTGCTGGGAGGTCTGGCTTCAGGATGCCAAGATGCTGGGCAGCCCAACAGGAAGGCAGCTGCTGGCCTTGGCTCAGGCCATCTGTTTACAGAGGTGCGAGGCGGGGAAGGGGCCGGCCTGAGTTCTCCTGGCAAGTCAGGCCTCAGACCCCGGTTTCCGTCTCTCCTCCGGAGCAGGGCTGTGGGGCTGTGCCCACCCACGGCCTCACTCTGCCTCTCGCCCGCAGGCCACCTATGTGCTGCTGGCCCTCGCGTGGGTTTTTGTGCCAATCTACATCTCCTCAGAGGTGAGTCTGCTCCTGGGACCTCGCCGCAGCCTCCCCTGGGGCGGGGCCTTGGACCTGTTGGTGGCGGCGATGGGCAGGACCCTCTGGCCTCACTCACGTTGGCAAACTCTCCAGGCTGTGTTTATTATTACGCGATTAACATGCCTATCAGCCCAGCAAAGCAGGCCCCTGGACGTCAGCCCGGCACCTTCTCTGCTGGCTTGCCCGCTGCATCCAGGACCCCACACCTCAGTGCCAGAGGGGCCCTCCCAGCACCTTAGGTCCAACAGTGTCCAGATGTGTTCTGTGCAGCCGTGCTTCTGGGCACACAGCCACACACCTGAACAGCACACCTGGTGGCCCGTCGGGGTGGCACACCGGGGGGTTACACCTGGGCAGCACTGCCCTTACCTCTGCCCACTCTCCTAGCTCTAGCTGGGCAGTCACTACGTCTGGGAGATCCAGTTCCTGATGTCTCTCAGTCTGCCCTGCCCTGCCCCTCACAGTCACCTCCATTCAGCCTCAGCCGGTTTTGTCCTATCAGCTTCCGAGCCGTCCCCCTGCCCCAGCAGCACCCCTGCAATCCACTCCCCATGTCGGTCTTGAGCAGCCCTCCCCCCCCCCCCCCCCCCCCGGAGCCGGCCGCCACGGCCCTGCCTGAGCCTCAGATGAGGTGGAACCTTCGCCTGGAGCCCAGGGCTCAGTGGGCCCGGCCTGCCCTTGAGCAGCGCCCAGCCCGAGTGCTGGCGCGGCTCAGCAGTGACCCTGCCGCCTCCCCAGATCGTCACCATGCCGGAGTACATCCAGAAGCGCTACGGAGGCCAGAGGATGCGCATGTACCTGTCTGTCCTGTCCCTGCTGCTGTCTGTCTTCACCAAGATATCGGTGAGCGCCCACCTCCGCCTCAGCCAGCAGAGCCTGGACACTCCCCACGCCGGAGGCCCCCGAGCAGGCCCGACGTCCTCTCACCCTGTCTAACATCTGGGGAAACTGAGGCCCAAAGAGGGACCGTGCTGGCCTAGGTCACACAGAGAGTTGGTGACAACAGGCCCGAGTGGGGCTCAGCAGCCAGCAGAGTTGGGGGAGAATGTAGGTCTGTGCCCCCTGACTCACCACAGGTTCTAGATGTGGGGCCCCAGGGGGTACTCAGGGTCCGGGGTTGTGGTGGACATCCCTGGTCAGCCTCTGGCCTTCCCTGGACCTGAACTGAGGTGAGCAGGACTGCCCACGAGGGGGCGCTGAGAGCCCGCCTGGTCTGGGCTGAGGTCCAGAGGCTGCATGAGGCCCACCTGCTGCCTCTCACTGTGACTGGCCAGCACTGTCACCAGCTGGTCCCCAACAGCACCCGCCCGGCATTGGGGTGCCGTCACAGCCTCTCCCTGGGGCCTGGGCCTGGTCCCGCGGGAAGGGTCAGAGCAGAAAGCACACCGGAATGCCAGTCAGCAGTGCTGGTGGCTTTCCTGTCCAAGCCCTGATTTTGCAGGCAGGGAGCCAAGGCCCGCGGAGGGCGTGGCCTGGTCTCAGGCTTGCTGGTGGCTTCAGGGCAATGCCAGGCCGGCTCTCACTCCCCTGTGGGGCTCAGGAGCAGGGACCTGGCTGCGTCCTGGGTCAGCCTGCTCAGAGCTGAGTGAGCCTGGGCGGACCTGAGGCCTGAGACCCGAGCCTTGGCCCCCGTAGGCAGTGGACTGGCTGGCCTGCCTCTCGGGTTCTGTGCAGGGGTTCGAGGGGGTGAGGGGGGGTTAGGGGAGGGAAGGATATGGGAGCAATGTGCTCCGAGAGCCGGGCTTCTCCTCAGTGGTGCTCACCTCCTGGGCCTCCTTCAGGCCGGCTCTGGCCGGGAAAACCCAGACAGACCCTGGGTTTTGTGGAGGGAGAGGAGGCCCCACTGGTCAGCCAGGAGCTGCAGGCAGGGCTCCCTGGAAATTAGGACCTGGGAGAGGGACTGCTCCTCAGAGGCCCTGGGGCGGCCTGGGACTGGCTTGGGGCAGCCTGGGACTGGCTTGGGGCAGCCTGGGACTGGCTTGGGGCAGCCTGGGACTGGCTTGGAGCAGTCTAGGGTCCACCTGGACCACATAGCTCTCCCTAAGGGTCTGACCTGGCATTTGACCTGACCCTCCCCTACCTGGGCCTGGGGATAGTGGTCGGCCGTCCTCTGCACCCCTGGGCCTGGCCTGGGCCTGGCCTCTCTGTGCACCCCAGGTCAGCTCGGGGCCCAGAGCATCCTGTTCCTGTGCAGGCTTCTGGGACCTGTTGTCAAGCAGGCACTGCTCTGCCCTTCAAAGACGAGGTGCTCTCGGAGCATCATGAGTTTCTGGCTCAGGGTTTCCCTCTGAGCCGGGGGGACTGCTCTGAGTGCATTGAAGGCCCCGTTTAGAATCCCCACACCTGCGCACCCTCTCCACCTCCCCGGCCCTGCGCCAGCGCCTCTCCTGGGACCGGAGGCTCAGAAACAGACAGGACCTGGCCCTGCTCTGAGGGCACCACAAACCTATGTGCCATCCGGCTGTGGCTGCCATGTCCGCCCGCCGGAGCGCGGCAGTGAGGGGGAGGCCGGAGCCGCTGATGCCAGCGGTCCAAGTACCAAGCGGCGCTGGGGGTGGGCAGGCAGTGGCACCGCCAGGCTGGAGTCAGTGCCTCGGGCCTCCTAGAGGACAGGCCAGAGGGCAGGAGGCAAGAGGAGGAGCCCCCTGGGCTGCAGGGGCCGAGGCCTGGGCCTGGGGGTTCCTTTATCCCCCGATGCAGCCCGCTGGGGGTCTGTGGTGAGGTGTATGTCTCACACTCAGAACCACCTGAGATGGCGGCGTGGGTGGGACTTCCGGAATGAGGACCGGTTAGGGGGAGGTCCTCGGAGACCTCCCTGTCCTGCAGCCCAGTGCACAGCGGAGACAGCTGAGCCCACTGCATGGCTGCACGTGCCGAAGGCCATGCTGAGCCGGCAGCATCGGTTAGAACCCAGGCCGCTGCCTCCAGGCCCGACCGGCCACTGCCTGCTGTGCCAGAGCAGCCACAACGGGATGCTCCAAGCTCCACTTTGTGAGGAGGGTGGCTCGGTTTACGCCCTGTAAGACGGGGAGCAGCCCAGCGGACGGCAGGGCCAGGGCTTCAGCACCGATGCGGGGCTGCCCAGGGGAAGCAGAGGGGGTAGAGCCTGGCTGACGGCCCTGGCGGAAGCTGTTTGCAGGCCGAGCCCAGCCGGCCTCCGAGGCCCTGGCTCCCTGGGCTGAGCCCCATGGACGCCCACACACTGCACTCCCAGGACCCATCCCAGATGCAGCCGGTCCAGAGAGAGACCACAGGGCCTGCCTGCTGCCACCCTCCGAGGGGACCCGGTCTGCAGAGAGAACACGCTACAGTGTTCAGAGAGCACCGCAGGGTGCAGGGAGCACCACTCGGATGGGGCTGAGGGAGCCCAGGTCCAGCTCCATCACGGTGCGGCTCTGGGCCTATCTGCTCTCTGGAAAGCAGGGAATCTTGGCATGACACATTAGGCCAATTGGAGTCAAGGCCAACGGCGCCTACACGGTCCTACACGTGCAGCCCTGGCTACATCCGTGACCTCACCGTGCCCTCGTCTCCCTGTTGCACCTGGCATTCCAGCATGGCCCCCTCACAGCCGAACCTGCAGGCATGGTCCTGCTTCAGGGCCTTGGCGCTTGCCCTGGTCTCTGCCTGGAACCTTCTTTCCCTGGATCGCCACGTGCATCACCCGCTGACTTGTCTCAAGTCTTTCAAAGCTCACCTTCCCCACGGGGGCTGGCCTGCCCAGCGGGTCCGGTCTCCCAGACTCGCTCCCTTTCCCACCCGTGTACTGTCTTGCAGTGTGCTGCATAGTTTGCTTAGAATGTCTGTTGTTGCCCCCATTTCTCTCTTTGTTCAGTGATGTATCCCCAGTCCCACTCCATGGGAATGAATGAGATAATATATGCCAGGGATCAGCTATCTCTATTTGTTTTGTCAAAGGGCCAGTAGTAAATACTATGGCTTTGCAGGCCACATGCAAACTAGCTGACCCTCCAACAAGCTGGGTTTGAACTGCGCAGTCCTCTGCTGCGTGACTTTTCCAGTAGCTTCGCTGTTGGCTCTCCGTTCCCTGGGTTTTGCATCCAGGATTGGGGTCCACAGATGTGGAGGGCCAACCATATGGATTCTTCTTACTCCACGCACATCAGGGACTTGAGGGTCAGGGGACACGGTGTCGGTGGGGTCCTGGAATCAACCCCCGCAGGCACCGAGGGACTGGAGGTAAGTGCCAGGGGGCACAGGAGTCAGGACTCCGAGCCCCAAGTTGTTCCAGGGCCATTGCCTCTGCAGTGGGAACGGCCCGTGGGCCTGTGCACGGCGGTGACTCTGTTCTGGCTCTCGGGAGCTTAGTTCCAGACAGATAAGCGCACAGACCAACGCAGTCGCAACAAACAGCAAACGTGCGGCAAGAGCAGCGAAGGCTGGGCTGCCGAGTAGTGAGAGAGTGGGGGTGGGACCAGGCTCGGGCGGGAGATGAGAACTCGGGTTCGCAGCAGCTGAGGGAAGCTGGTGGGGCTGGAGATGTGGCCGTGGCGGGAGCGGTGATGGCAGGGCTGCCCGGGGGGCTTCTGCAGCGGCGAGGGGGGTGGCGAGGGGGCGCTGAGGTGATGGGAGGGGCGGAGGAGGGAAGGTGAGGTGACAGGGGAGACGCTGAGGTGGCAGGGGAGCGTGACAAGGTGGGAGTGGTGACAAGGGCGCTGGCGGTGGGACTGTCCTGCGCTGTGGCTGGTGGGTCTGGTGCGGGGAGTGGCACAGGGGAGGTCTCTGCAGCCTGAGGGATGTGATGGCCCCGGTGAGATGGGCCGGTGTGGGAGCGGATAATCTGGGGGAAATCGCCGTCATAGCTTCTCTGCTGCCACACGTGCGGGGGCACAGGGTCGGCCCGCAGCGGGGCCGCCTGGGCCTCGCCCCCGTCCCTCCGGGCCCTGGGCCCTGGGTGTTTTTCAAGCTCAGGAGATGGTGCCACAATGGGGTCCGCTGGCTCTAGGGACCTGGGAGCTCAGGGTCCCCAGGGCCAGCCCCACGAAGGCTGCAGCACGGCCCCGCCTGGAGAGACTGCAGGGCTTCGGGCAGCGCGCTTCCCTCCAGTGCGCCTCCTGGTGGCGGAACCAGGCCGGACACCCTCCTGGGAGGACAGCCCGGCCTTAGAGCTTCTCAGAATAAAGCAGTGTGTGTGTGCAGGCGGAGTGGGTGTGCCAGGCACCCCCGGGGCACTGCCTGGTTTCCGAGGGGAGAGGGGAAGCCCTGTGGGCAGAAGGCTCCGTGTGGGCGCCACCAGGCCTCCCATTTGGGGACGAAGTGGCAAGGTCAGTTGGCGAGGAGTGAGTTTGGGGTCAGATCATGGAGCAGCCCCCCAGCGGGTCCCGAGAGGGCAGGGGCTCTGCCCAGCAGGCCTGGCTAGCCTGTGCCCTTAGAGGGGCCTCCTGTGGGCCTCCCGTCCCTGCTGCTGCCCCTGCGTCTTCTCCCAGGGTTCTGCCAGCAGGCGAGTCCCTCTGGCTTTGCCTCCATCTGCTCTCCTGGGCCAGGAGAGAGGCACAGGGGGGAGTGGCCGGTGGGGTCCAGAGGGGATGAGGAGCTGAGTGCTCCGCGGCCTCCCCTCCCCCCTTCACTTCATAGATAAGAGCCAGAGGCTGGGGTGGAGCAACCTTTAGCTGGGACAGCTGGCTAGGGACACAGACCCAGGTCCCTGCAGCTCTGGGTCTAGGGCTCTGAGCTTCTACCGGTTGCAGCTGGCCTGGGTCTGCCGGGGGGCGGCTTTGGAGGATGAGATGCAGGGACTGGGTGAGCCAAGGCCTGAGGCAGCCAAGTGCTGGCGCTGGGTGGTGTGGCCGCGTCACCTGTGCTTACAGGGACGTGTGGCCGGAGGTCAGGCGCAGGCCAGGGCAGGGAGGGACTTCCGTGGTGGCCGGAGGGCTCGGGGGCCTGCCGCCTGGCACTGCCACCCTCTACTTCCCGGGGTCTGACCTTATGAAGTCCCTTCCCTCCCTGTGCCTCCGCCTCTCCTCTGTCTCACGGGAGCTGCCTCATCGTACACACACGCACACATACAGACACACGTTCACACATGCGCGCGCACACACACGTCAGTCTCCGCACAGCTGGGGTCCTCCCAAAAGGAGGTGAGGGGAGCCTGGGGGAGGCCAGAAACGTGGGCTGTCCCGAAGGCTCGGGAGCCGGCGTCTGCAGGCCTTTCTCCCGGCCGTGCTGGCAGCTCCCCGCTGAACCAGGTGCTGGGGTAGCTCAAGGGCTGTGCCCTCCGGCCGTGCAGACCGGCCACAGCCCGGCTCGGCCTTCTCCGGAGCTGCCCAAAGGCTGTTTCTGGTTGTCTCCGCTCTTAGCCAGCAGGAAGGCAGCCTGGAAGCCGGCAGGCCCTGCCCTTCTCTTTCTGGACGCCCCCTGCTCAGGGCGAGGGGCAAGCTCTGGGCGGTCCAGGGTGAACCCTGGAGCAGGGGTTCTTGCCCCAAATGGCCTGGATGGGAGGGCCGTGGGCCCAGCCCTGGGTCCAGCCTCGGCCTGACGCAGTCTGACTTAAGTCCCAGTCCCCGGGGCATTAAACCAGCTGCCCGTTTCCCTGCCACCTGGTCTGCTCTGGAGGCCCCGGTGACAGGCAACGGGTACACCCAGCGGCCCCCTGGACAGAGGCACGTGCACCCGCTTCCTGAGGCCGCTAGTCTTTGTGGCCACCCCCAGGAAGCCCTCCTGGGGCCTCCTCATCAAGGACCCCCTGGGAGCCAGGGCCAGCCTCTGCCCTTACCCCGGGGCCAGTTCAATAACAGCGCTGCTCCCGGTGGGCGAGGGCCACGGGACTTTATCCCCAACGCGTGTCCCTGCTGCACACGGTGCCGCGGCCAGGACTCCTCCGCCCTCTCCCAGCCCCTGGCAGGGGGTCCCCTCCTCTCCAAGGGCGTCGAGGTCACGTGGGGAGCGGGCCACAGCGGGGGCCTCTACCCAGATGCCTCTCGCACACAGATCGACCTGTACGCGGGAGCTCTGTTCGTGCACATCTGCCTGGGCTGGAACTTCTACCTGTCCACCATCCTCATGCTCGCCATCACCGCCCTGTACACCATCGCAGGTCAGCACCAGGCGTCCTGGAGGGAGGGAGGGGAACTGACCACGGGCTGGGCAACCGTGCCTGAATCGGAGAGGTCAGCCGAGCCCTCAGGCAGGAGCAGGGGCAGGGCCACCTTCCGCCGCAGCCCTGGACAGCTACAGTCCGGCTGCGCTGCCCAGCTTCCTGCTCCTACCGCTCACCCCACCCCCCCACTCGGCAAAGGGCAGGGCCCGGGTATGGGGCAACAGCCGCCCGGAGCCCTGGAACCGCGTCCCAGTCCGCTCCCTCGGACCCGGCCCTCCAGCTCCCTCTCTCCGCAGGAGGCCTGGCCGCCGTGATCTACACGGACGCCCTGCAGACGCTCATCATGGTGGTGGGGGCCGTCATCCTGACGGTCAAAGGTGAGGGCCACTGACAGAGCTGGCTCAGGGCTCCCGGTGAGGCGGGCCCCAGGGCAGGCGTGTAGTCGCACAGACCTGCCCAGTGTCTGTCCGATCGCCAAGAGCCATGTCCGACCCCAGGAGCCTGGGCGAGGCGGGGAGAGCAGGCAGGCAGACCTGCCTGGCAGGGCTGCCCTGAGCTCCGGGAACTGCTCGCTCCTGGATGACAAGCAGGGCCGGACCCCACCGAGGGCCTTTAGTCTCTCCCAGACTCAGGCGCCCGATCCCGGGGCAACTTCTGCCTCTTGCGTCGTGTGTCCCTTTGCTCTGCGCCCTCAGCCCAGCCTGGCCTGGGCTCCCGGCAGCCAGGCTGCTGCGCTCGGAGTCTGGGCAGCGACGGCCCATGGGAAAGGCGGGGAGCAGGGCCTGGGCTCTCCCGTGTCCAGGCGTCTGTGTATCTGCTTCCTCTCAGACCAGGGCCGGAGGCTCTAGGCCCCACTGCAGGCCAGAGCCCTGGCGGCCAGGCCCGTGTGGGGAGGGGAGCGGCTGCAGACACAGGGGCCTGGCTGGGCCTGCGGGCTGACCCTGAGGCAGAGGCAGTGAGGGGTGAATGTGGTCTGGGCTGGAGGCCTGCTGCTGGCCCTGTGGCCTGTCACGCTGGTCCGTCCCCTGCCCCCGTAGAAGCCCCAGGGTGGACTCGAACACTCCACTCCCCGGCGGGCCTCACACGCTAAGAAAAGCACTTTGCTTCCTGGATTGGGTTTAAAGCCCTTGCCCACGGCCAGGCAGCCTCAGAGGCCACAGGACCGAGTGCTCATTTAATGGGATTTAAATACATAGAAAACAGCCGTGGATCCCCTCCGCAGAGCCCGGCCCTGTGCTCTGCCCGGCGCTGGGGAGGTGACGTGGGAGGCCTGTGAGGTGCAGGCAGTGGGGGCTGGGAGCCAGGCCACCAGCCACCAGCCTTCCCGCCCGCCCCGCCCCGCCCAGCTTTCGACCAGATCGGCGGGTATGAGCAGCTGGCAGTGGCCTACGCCCAGGCCATACCATCCAAGACTGTGGCCAACACAACCTGCCACCTGCCACGTGCGGATGCCATGCACATGTTCCGAGACCCCTCCACGGCGGACCTCCCGTGGACCGGGATGACCTTCGGGCTGACCATCATGGCCACCTGGTACTGGTGCACCGACCAGGTGGGTGTCCCGTCGTCGCCTGCGGCCTTCCTGCCTTCCGGGGTGGGCGGGGTCCGGCGGTCCACCTGCCGCCCGCGGTGCAGCCCGGGAGCCCGCACGGCCGGGGTCCCGTGGAGCCGGGCGCGGCCGGCTAGGGGTCCTTGAGGTCCCGAGGGGCCGGCACCCTCTGTCTGGAATCGGACGAGGCCCACTGGCCGCCGCCCGGCCTGGCCTTCAGGTGCTTCGACTGAGACAGTTTGGAGTACGGGATCCCCAAGGGGCTGGGGCGCCCGTGGGCGGCCAGCCGCGGGCCCCCGGGGTCTGGCAGTGTGTGGGGCACGGGGCTGCCCTTGGCCTGCCAGCAGGGGGAGCCCCCTTTCCGGGCAGAGGCGCCCTCGGCAGGGGGGCAGTAGGGCCGGGGTCCCGGGGTCCTCGGTGGCCGCGGGAAGCCGTCTTTACCCCTGGTCTCCGAGGCAGGGGCTCCGCGAAGGTGGTCCTGGGGAGAGAAGAGACAGGTGACATCGAGGCAGCCCACGCCCGCACGCCCAGCTGGTGGCCTGGCAGCGGGTCGCCTCACTGGGGCCCAGCTCCCAGGCGTCCATGGGAATCACCGCCTTCTGTGGCTGTGGCTCGGCAAGCGCGGCTCCTCGCTGCCCCGCCCCGCCTCCCCCTGTAGCGGCCGCAGGGCCGGCCGCGGGGCTTGCAGGAGACCTCCCGGCGCCGCTTCCCGGGCCGCCGCTCGTGGGGGAGGGCGGTGAGAGGCAGCCGCGCCGCCGCACCGGGCAAGTGGTCCCGGCCTGGGAGGGAGGCGCCAGACCCCAGTGCCAGCCCAGCTCGCCGGGGGCCGATGTGGACCCCCCCGTGGGGGAGGTTCCGGAGCCCCACTCCCGGGCTGGACCACTGAGGCCCAGAGGGCAGGATCGGCTGCGCCCACAGGGAGGGACTCTGTCCAGCGGGGGCTGCTCAGGGCTCTCCGCCCCAGCAGCAGGTGCGCGTCTGATGACAGCCCCAGGGCCGTGACGAGGAGAAGCCCCGGAGGTCAGGCCCGTTTCCCCAGATTCCCCCGTCGCCTCGCCTGAGCGTGGGCCCGGGGAGCACTGCCTTCACGGCAGCTCGGCTGGCTCTCCTGGAGGGCCAAGGGCACGCCTGGGGCGAGGGCCGGCTGAAGCTGGCCGTGAGGCATGCGGCTGAGCCGGCCGGTGCCCCTGCACCCGCACCTCTCATTTCCCCTCTCGACACAGGCCTGGCGGTGCGGGCACGTCTGGGCGACTTCATTCAGTTTCTCGTGAAGGCCAAGGGCAGGCCTTGAGGTCAGGGCTGATGGGCCCGTCTGGGAGGCTCCCCGGGGAGGCTGAGGCGGACGCCACCGGCATTGGTGGCCCGCAGCCGGCCCAGCCTTACCTCCCCTCCTCTGGCCTCCCCTGGGCCTGCTCTGCCGTGACCCACACTAGCCAGCACCTGTGGGCTCCGCAGGCACCTGGAGGGCTAACCACTCCGTCAGTGCCAGTGGCAGCTGTGTGCGGGGACCAGGCACCTCTCCTTCCCTCCTTTGGACTCTGTTCTCCGTCTCCTCGCTCACTCACATCACGGCCACACGCTTGTGATTAGAAACAGACAGACAGCACAGGAGGCAGCAGCCCCAGCTCAGCCTCCTCCGCAGGCGCCCGAGCGGTGCCATGCGGCCGCCGTGCCAGGCTCGTGTCATCCATCACAGGGCACCAGTGGGCTGGGTCCACAGAGCCTCCTCGCTGTCCAGACAGGGAAACCGAGGCTCACCGTGAGGCAAGGAAGGTCCCCAAGTCACCAGAGGCTGGTGAAGCGGGATGGCATCAGCTTGCCCCGCACCCCGTGCTGCACCCCGGCACCCTGGCTCGTGCTCCAGCCGTGCAGGAAGGAGGGCTGGGCGTCCGTTACACCAGCCCGTGCCTGAGGCAGCTGACGGCTCAGACGGCCCTGCTCCTCCGTGCTTAGTGACTTACATGCAGGCAGCAAGGGAAACCCTTACATTTACAAGTTACAGTGCACGGTGCTGTGAACACACAGAGAGCACTGAAATGTACACTTTGCGGCTGAACTGTAGGTAGACTCATAGCTTGATAAAGCTGTTTTTAAACAGTGTTTTTTCAAGAAGTAGAATCGTAATGTCAGAGTTGGGAGGACCTCAAAGCCATCCGTTCCCATGAGCCCCCACCCCCACCCCCGCCCGCCCCCTGCAGACTGGAGACGGAGGCTCAGCCAGGATCTGCCCAGGGCCACTGACGGAGCTTCCCCAAACCCTGGGTCTGAGTCCCGACCTCGGCCAGCGACACAAAGCCGCTGCTGCCAGGCTCCTGGCACAGGCGTGAACATGCAGCCGCTCTTGTGAGGGCGCAGGAGCGGGGGGGGTCCCCCAGTGCCATCCCTCCAGGGCTCTCCAGCCCCGCCAATGGCAGCCTGGCAGGCTGGGCAGGACCCACTTTCCCTGCCCAACCAATGGGAGGCGGGGTCCCTGGATGAGCTCCTTGGTCCTTCGGGATGAGCTCTGCTCCTGGGGAGCCGCCAGGTACCAGCCTGGGCGCTGGCTGTCTCAGTGGGTCTGGCCCGAGTGGGACAGCACCCCCCCTCCCCCCCCCGCCCCGGAGCACCAGGAGAAAGCCTGCCCCCCGACTCACTGCCTCCATGTGCCCCCAGGTTATTGTGCAGCGGTCGCTGTCTGCCCGGGACTTGAACCACGCCAAAGCGGGCTCCATCCTGGCCAGCTACCTCAAGATGCTGCCCATGGGCCTGATGATCATGCCGGGCATGATCAGCCGCGCGCTGTTCCCAGGTAGGGCCGGGCCGGGCCGGGCCGGGGCGGCAGAGGTTACCAGGAGGAGTGGCAGAGGATGACTATGAGCTGCTTCCTGCGGGGGGGAGGGGGGAAGTGGTCCCGGGGCCACAATCAAAGGGATCCAAGCGTAAAGGAATGCTCTTTGCCACTGACTTCCTGTAGCACCTGGTGAAACTCGGCTCATCCAGGCCAGTGCTGCAGAGGCTGCCTTGGGGGAGATGGGGCCAGGTCTCTAGCTGTCACTGCGTGCAGGTGCTGGGTGCTTCCTGCCCGCTCCCCACCCCGCCCACCAGGAGCCCACAGAGGGCCCAGAAAAGGGGGCCCCGAGCCCATGCAGACCCTCACCCACCTGTGCGTTCTTGTCCACGGAGCGAAAGGCCTGCATCCTCCGCAGAGTGCCTGCCTCTTCTCTCTCCCGACCCTGGGCCCACGGACCACACAGGGGCTCCCCAAAGGTCCCGCGGGTCATGTGGGGGTCACTCAGCTGTCGGCGAGGGGGCTGGGCCGGCCCGTTGGCTGCTTGCTCCGAGTGGCGCCTCCGGAGAGGGGTCGAGTGTCCCCTCACCTCGAAATACTCATCCGACACGGAGGAGGAGGCCGCCGAGGGCCGGCGCGGGCCGCGGCCGCGGCCGGAGCTGCCCGAGAGGCTGTCCTGGTCGCTGAGGGTCACGTAGTCATCGTCGTCCTCCTCATCCTCCTGGTCCAGGCCGTTGGGGATCCCTACACACTCGCCGCCAGGGTCCCCCTGGGCCACAGGCAGCTGCCGCCGGGGTGGGGCGGGGCCCGGGGCCGGGGGCCGGGGCAGCCCGCCGTCTGTTCTGTTCTGCAGCGCCTCCTCTTCCGGGCTCCCAGGGGCCCAGCCGGCACCGCCGCCATCCCGGGCAAGCACGTCTGCCACCGGGACTGTCCGGGGCTTGGGCACCGGGGGCTGTGGCGTGGGGTCCCCCTCGGGGAGGCCGTTCTTGGCTGGGGGGCCGTCCCGGGGCGTGCCGGGCTCCGGAGCGTGGCTGCCGTCCTGGCTCTGCCTCCACAGCTGGGCGCCCCCCTGGGAGGTGTCCCGGATCTTGATGCGGTTGATCTGGTTGGGCTGGGGGTTCCAGATGTTGGGGTCGATGATGTTGATGTAGCCCAGGATGTCGCTGCCCGGCTCGGGGTCCGGCTCCACCCACGTGGGCAGGTACTCGAACATGTTGGCGCGCTCCAGGTGGAGCAGCCCCGGGTGGACGGGCAGGGGCGGCTCCGGCAGGTCCCCCGGCTGCTCGGCCAGCCCCGGGCCGCGCAGCCCCGGCGGCCTCTTCGCCTCCTGCTTCTCCGAGGCGACCTTGGCGATCTCCTCGGCGCTCTTGGCCTTGACCAGCGCGTACTTGGGGTTGACGAGCTTCTTGGCCACGGTGCCGGAGGGCGCCAGGGGCACCACGGCGGGCAGCACGACGGGCTCGGGCTCGGGCTCCTTCTCCATGGGGATGCCCTTGAGGCTGACGCCGTGCGAGGTGAGGTACAGCTCCTGGAACTGCCGGTCGAACGTCTCCACCACCTGGCCCGACAGCACCGAGATCACGTTGCGGTCCGTGCGGGCGGCCGACCAGGTGAAGCTGCAACACAGGACGGCCGTGGTCACACGGGGCCGCCCCCCAGCCCAGCCCAGGCCCCGCACGGGCATCCACAGCCCACGGGGCCCCGGGGAGGATTGGTGAGGGACAGAGGACCTGACCTGGGTCCTCGCGCAAGCCGCCACCACGCCCTCTCCCAGCTGCGCTCCTCTGGGGGTTACAGCACCCCAAAGGCCGCTCCCGGGCCCAGAGCTGGTGGGCCCCACCTGCTGTCATTCTGAGTGGCCGTGGCAGCGCCGCCTGCTGTCTCTGCGGTGGGGCTGGCAGAGCGGGGCCACGGTGTCCCATGCCGGCCCCAACCCACCTCCAGGCTGGAGGAGTCTCAGACAAAGCCCTCCCCGCCTCTGCAGAGCAGGCTGCTGTGGGCTGTGCCCAGCCCAGCTCACACCTCAGCAGTTCGGGGGGCCAATGAACCGGAACAGCCCAGGTGCCCTAAGGCAGGATTAAGGGCAGGAGCCAGCTGGGACCCAGAGCCACCTCTTCCCCAACCCGAGAAAGCTGAAGTCACCTGTAGGAGCCACAGACGGCCCGGTCTCCATCCACAAACATGAACTTCTGGGCCAGGGCGCCCTTGAACTTGGTGGCCGACCTGGTGAAGAACTCTGTTCCCCCGCTGCTCCGTACCCTGAGATTCTAGGGGGGACAGGAGGCAGAATTAGATGACCACAGCGCTGAGCATGCTGAGGGAGGCCCAGCAATCTCTGCCTGGGCTCCAGGGGCTCTGAGGGAGCTTGGGCGGGAAGGCTGAGGCCTGAGGCAGGAGCTGGAGGGGGGAGGGGGGAGAGGCTGAGGCCTGGGGAAGAGCTGGGGGGGGAGTCTGAGGCCTGGGGCAGGAGCTGGGGGGGGGGGGAGGCTGAGGCCTGGGGAAGAGCTGGGGGGGAGGCTGAGGCCTGGGGCAGGAGCTGGGGGTGGGGATGCTGAGGCCTGGAGCAGGAGCTGGGGGGGTGGGGGAGGAAGCTGAGGCCTGGGGAAGGAGCTGGGGGGGTGGGGGGGAAGCTGAGGCCTGGGGAAGGAGCTGGGGGGGTGGGGGGGAAGCTGAGGCCTGGGGAAGGAGCTGGGGGGGTGGGGGGGAAGCTGAGGCCTGGGGAAGGAGCTAGGGGGGTGGGGGGGAAGCTGAGGCCTGGGGAAGGAGCTGGGAGGGGGGGAGGCTGAGGCCTGGGGAAGAGCTGGGGAGGGGGGGAGGCTAAGGCCTGGGGCAGGAGCTTGGGGGGGGGAAGCTGAGGCCTGGGGCAGGAGCTGGGGCGGGGGGGGGGGGGGGGGGGGGGAAGCTGAGGCCTGGGGAAGGAGCTGGGAGGGGGGAGGCTGAGGCCTGGGGAAGAGCTGGGATGAGTTGGAGAGGAGAGGAGGGTGGGGCACGGCCTGAAGGTGTCGGAGGGCACGCCCGGGCAGGACTCGGCCTGCAGCCCTGTGTGGGGAATGCTGCCCAGGCTCCGGTGGGGGCAGGGTTGAGAGGAGGGACTGGGCACTTCAGAAAGGTCCCCATGGCAGCGGGGGCTGCCCAAGGGGTGTGGGACCTGCCCTACGGGGTCTGGCTCTGGCAGTCCGGCCGAGCAGTGGCTTCCCCCCCTCTCCCTGGTCTCTCCCGTGCCGTCTCTGTCGCCGCTCGCCCGCTCGCCCACGTGCGCCGCCTGCACCGGGAGCAGCTCGCGCTTGGTTCAGGCCCACGGCTCACGGCGGCCCTGTGGCTCCGGAGCAAGCCAGAGGCCCCGGGAGACCATGGAGGGAGGGGAGACCCAGCCAGAGGAGAGGGGTCCCAGGAGTCACGAGCAGTGCCTCCTGCCCAAGTCCACGGCTGGGCCACTCCTGCCCATCTCCATCTCTGGACTCTGGCCATGAAGGTGCCTCCCCGTGGGGTCTGTGTGGCCTGTGGCCCCTCCCCGTGGGGTCTGTGTGGCCTCTCCCTGTGGAGGCTGTGTGGCCTCTCCCAATGGAGGCTGTGTGGCCTGTGGCCTCTCCCCGTGGAGGCTGTGTGGCCTGTGGCCTCTCCCCGTGGGGTCTGTGTGGCCTGTGGCCCCTCCCCGTGGGGTCTGTGTGGCCTGGGCCTCTCCCCGTGGAGGCTGTGTGGCCTGTGGCCTCTCCCTGTGGAGGCTGTGTGGCCTCTCCCCGTGGAGGCTGTGTGGCCTCTCCCTGTGGAGGCTGTGTGGCCTCTCCCTGTGGAGGCTGTGTGGCCTCTCCCTGTGGAGGCTGTGTGGCCTGTGGCCTCTCCCTATGGAGGCTGTGTGGCCTCTCCCTACGGAGGCTGTGTGGCCTGTGGCCTCTCCCCGTGGAGGCTGTGTGGCCTCTCCCCGTGGAGGCTGTGTGGCCTGTGGCCTCTCCCCGTGGAGGCTGTGTGGCCTGGGCCTCTCCCCGTGGAGGCTGTGTGGCCTGTGGCCTCTCCCCGTGGAGGCTGTGGCTCCGCCCAGGGCCTCTGGGCCTGGCTGTGTGACGGTCTCAGACTCCTGGGCACTCCGAGGAGGCAGCTCTCTGAGGGGCGGCTGTGGAAGCCAGTGGTGGGCCTGGCAGGCCCAGGAGGGCAGGATGAGCCCGGCTGAGAACTGGATTTGCGGGAAGGCTGGGGCCGGAAGGAGACCTGGGCTCCTCTGGGCAGGCCCTGCCAGGGCTGCGTGTTGGAGACACGGGCCTGGGGCCCCGGAGCGTCCTCAGGTGCCTGTGGTCAGGCTGGGAATTCCTGGTTCACACAAGCCCTAGTGAGTCCAACACCCGGCCAGGCAGGTCCGTGTGGCGGCGAGGCGGGTGCCTCCAGAGGGGCTCCGTGCCAGCTGTGGGTGCCGGGCTGTCACACCTTCTGCGACTCCTGTCGCCCTCACCCATGCACCGGCCTCAGCGTGGTGACTGCCCACCCGTCCTCACGCTCACCAACCCCCGCGAGGTCCCAGCTGCAGACAGAACAGACTGACGAAGACCCCAGGGCAGGGCAGAAGGAGCTGTGAGGGGCTGCAGGCTGGCATGAGGAGGGCGGGAAGAAGGTAGGGGCAGGGCAGGGCTGGCATTGCAGACGGGAGCACGGGCTGGTGACACACGAAGACTTAGCTGGCACCCAGCAGAGGCCGCATGGCATGAACGGAGAGCCGGAGACAGAGGGCAGGGAGGGGCTGTGGGCAGGGAGGTGAGCCTGCGTCCAGGCAAGGGCAACAGAGAAGGGATGGGTTTGAGACTGGAGTTTGCCCTCTGCTCCGCTCCGCCCACGTCTCGGGGGGACCCCTCTCAGACCCCCTGCTTGGGTGGAGGGGCAGGTCTCATGGACCCCACCTGGCCAGGGCACGAACAGTTGTCTTATTGTTGGAGCCAACCCAGAAGACAGATAAGCCTCTGTGTCCAGGGCTCCTCTGTGCCAGCTCCTCTGCCCCAGGCCGCCAGCCGCCAGCCTCAGCCGGAAGCTGGCCGCAG